ACAGGCACATAAACAGAGAATTACAAAACAAAGCAGAAACTGCAATGACTCAAGTACATGCAAGAAGGTCTGTGGAACAGACAGGAGGGACACCACAGTTCACCCTGGAAGGGTCAGACAGGGATCCATGGAGGAAAAGGTTCCAGGGCTTAAAGGATTTCAAGCAGGAATTTAAGTTGTCTCTGGTATCCAAGGCCTTCCTTAGTTGGTCATCTAAAACCTTCCTGCCATTTCTGGATCCCACCTGGCAACTGTGGTTCAAATCCTAAACCTCCTCAGCCTCAAAAACACTAGAGTCGGGACCAGCAGTTAGTGTAATGGCTATGTCGCTGGACTCCCATGGAGTCAATCGCGGTTCGTGTCCTGGACCCGGTGGCTTAAACTCACGCCGGGCGCATGTGTGTACGTGCCCAAGATCCCGAGAGGAGAATGGAGAAGAAGGGATTGCAGCGTGGCCATCCCCCCTGGGGGGTGATTTCTCGCTTTCTGTCTCTCTGTCTGGCGAGTGCACGCACTCTACAGCAAAAACCTCTTTTTTAAAAAAAATAAATAAATAAAACGGTGGAGTCATGTGCAAGTGCCCAAAGTAAGACGGGCTGGAGGACTGGAGAAAGGGTGTCACCAGATCTTGTGGAAGGTGCTCCTCTCTCTGACGCTCACACACTCTATCGTGAATAAAGACAAAAAAAATCTCAAACAGGCACATTCAGATAGATGCTAACATTACCATATTTTGCAATTGTATTTTTCTTATTATACTAAAAAACCCATAAGTATCTTGAGGAGAAAATGCTTCATAAATGTATTTTATTTGTACCACAACACCTGGCAAAGTGTCAGGCAAAGCAAAATAAAACTAGGCAAAAGCACTTTCTGAATTAAATTGTTTTACTAATGCCTCCTCTGGTTTATCTGGTGTGCAATAAATTCACTTTATGAAATTTTAAAAGTTCAAATAATCATAGAAGAGAATGTTCTTGCTTCTGTCGGTTAATTTACTAACTGAAAATCAGTAGTACCATATGAGAAATAAACTGGCTTGGTAGAATTTGTAAATGTGAAGAAAATGTGAACCATGGAATAAATTACACATTTGGTTTATAAAAAGCCTGTGAATGAGGTTCTTGTACTTGGTAGGCAGTAAGAAAGCAGCATATTGTTCAGAGAGCAAATGTATTTAGAGTACAAGTTTGAACATGCAATGAGAATAATTGAATAGCCTGTTTTGTAAGGAAGTACAATACACACACACGCACATATCAGTGAAGTAAATGAAGGGATTATGCACATGCATGCACATACATGCACATACATGCACAGACACACATACTACATGTGTGAGTAAGAATATTGAAGGGCTGGGAGGACAACCTTTTCATACCATTAATGATTAGACATTTTCCAATTCAGCACTTCTTACTTCTTTCCTATCTGTTGCTCACCCACTGTTACTTCTCATATTGTTCCTCTCCTTAGTTTGTTCTGCCTAAGTTTCTTCCTAACTTCTTTCCAGCAAAAACTATTCTCTCTCTCTCTCGCTCTCTCTCTCTCCCCCCCTCACAAACACACACATACACACACACCAGCTGTTTACTATGTTTTGTGTTCAAAGCATGAAACCAACTACCTAGAGGGTCCCTAAAAGTGATATCATTAACTCATTAGACTAATGAGCAGTTTGTAAACTTTGGCTCATGAGCTTTCCTTAAAATATTTTTTTTTAAATATAGACTTTATGCCCATTACCTTTAAACCCATCTTCATTGCCTGCTCTGCTACGATTTAGCTGAGCCCTTTAAATATTTGCCAGCATGACATTAAACTGCCAGTAGGAGCCACAAGAGAGAGACTGCAGGAGGGGAAGACTTGTTTCTTTCTTTCAGCATGCCTGCTCAACACAATCCTCCATACCCACAGCTTCTGCCAGAGGTTTCTCTCACATCTGAACCCATAGCTTCTCCACTTCCAGGCACCTGCAGCACGGGTGCTTCTCCAGTGCCAGGCTACTGGAGTGAGAATGACTTCTTTACCCAACACCTCAGTGAGCACTCCCACTTGAGCACCTGGCTCCTACAGAGCAGCTTCTCCTGCATCCAGCCTTTGTAGAATACACTCCCTCCCAAGTGCCCAGCCACTGCAACATGAGAATCTTCTCCAAAGTCAGCCTCCTGCAGTGGCAGGTGGTACTTTCAGTGCACAGCCATCACCAGCACCTAGCAGCCAGCAGCTTCCCCTGGCAGTCCTCTTGGGTGGATTATGATAAAGCGGTTCACCTCCTGGCAAACAGCCTGCACCTCAGGGGGTAGATGTCCAGAAATTTCCAGGGGCTGTGTTTCCAGAAACCATCACCATCACCACAACCTGATGACTTGTCTGTCATTTAATAGCTACAGACATGCCTTCTCCAACAAGATCTAGACCTCACCCCCAAGGAAAGGAAAGGGTGGGAGAGACTGACCCTTGGGCTCTCTATTTCAGCCCAAGAAGACTTGGTTGTTTCTCACATCTGCAATTCCTCTATTCTCAGAATTTCTCTTACCTTCTTACTAGCCAATCCCTCATTACCACAGTCCTCTAGTACATTCCTAATTCTTTATAGTGAACTTACCTATTCAAATTACAGTGTGACTTCTATATCCTGACTGCTGAATGATACACATTTCTCCTATTTTAGATTAGTAGCTAAAATGTCTCATCAAATTTGTATTATCACAAGAGATGAATTTGCTGGTGTTAGGGGTATTGTAGAAATGCTTAAAATAAATTTTTTGTTAAAACAATAAAGCTACATACTTATCACTACATATTTATATCGTTAAATGAATGGCGAAGTCCACCACATAATTTCTAAAACCAGGTCTCATTGTCAAATCAATCAACCAAATAGATTTATTTTCTGTCCAAAAAAAAAAAAAAAAGACTTTTTTCTGTTCTTTCTCTTTTTTCATTTGAATAACTATGTTGAGACGAGTTCTTAGGGCAACCCTCTCACCTAAGAAGCCTCACAGAAAATGGACAGACAGCAGATGAAAGACAGACAAGCAGACAGGGTGGTGCCAAGAACCTGGCTAAGATAAAATATTATTCCAATATTGTTTTAGCAGTGCTTTTTTTGCCTTGCTTGCATGGGTCTCAATTTCAGAAGTAATGCGTTCCTAAACTTTCCTTTTGCATGATGCCCTGGAGTGTACACCCTAGGGCAGTAAATCATAGTAAGATTTGGGCTGGATAAAAGGTATGACATCTTCCATGCAGAGGGAGAGGGTAATCATGATAGAAGAGATGAGAAGGAAGAGTTGGCAGACAAAGTCTCTCAGAAGCATCAGTTCCAGGAAAATGTATGTATAAAAGTTGAGGATCAGAAAATTGATCCCTTCAAAACTGTCCCTGCCCTGTGGTCCCTGGAAAGTCTTTGTGGCTAGATCTTCAGTGAAGAATAGAACTGGGATTTTATTTTTCCCCTCAAATGGACAAGAAATCAAGTAAGGAGAAGCAAGGAACTTAAAAAAGAAAAAAATAGAATTAAAACATATTTCTTAAACATTTTAAAAATAAAGGCTCTCCTAACAAGATCGCTAAAGGAAATAGAGAGGCAATATCACCTCGAATGTGAAATTTGATTCCCACCAGTACCTATGTTTGGATAAGGGTCTTGCTTTTAGGATTTGTGACTCAAAATTTCACATGGGTTAAATCCTTCATTTATAGCAGTTCTGTTTCTTATTTAAAACAGTAAGTTTTCCTTAGATCCAGTACTTTAGTGATTCACATGATAGGAAAAGAAATGGAGAATCTTAAACAAAAAGGAAAGGGGATGTGGCCAATTTTTACCATTTGGGATATTAACAAGTTTAACATGGCTCAGCAACTATCGTTAAGTGTTATATCAACTATTATGACACAAGCTGAAGGTGTTGAAATATAAGGACGTGTGTTTTCTAGGAGGAAATGGGTGACAATTTGAAGGGTCGGGTTTTTTTAACATGAAGAATAAATACGTAAGAATTCAGAACAGATCCTCAACTAACACTAATGTACAATAAGATTTGTGTACTTTAAGAAAGGTTTTAAACATTTTTAAAAATTTTTCAAGGAAACTACTGTTTCCCGGTATTCCTGGAAAATCTGTAAAGGCTAATTTTTTTAAAAAAGAGAAACATTTATGGAGATACATTGTGTTTTACATACTATAAGATTCTTGTTTATTTTCCCTAAGAACATCTATAATTATGTTTTAAATAAGTGACATTTACTCTCAATTAAGGTTTCTGTTTCTTCATTCCCCAAAATTAGCGTCCTATGGGAAATAAAGAACTTCTAGGATTTTTCCTGCCTACATAAATAAAGCTTTATGGATAGATTTTCTTTAATTGAAGATTCATAATCTCCAAAATACACTGTCTCAATTAACTATTTTGGTCAGTCTATATATTGTTTATTTGTTTGTTTTAATGGTAAGCTGTTGAAAATTTTTAAATAAAGATTTTTGGATCAATACAAAAACTGTTAACCTCATATTACATAATTTGCTTAACTATGTATAAGTCTCTGTTATAATTCTCATATTACTTTCAAAACAGGTATTTCCCTTTATTACAGAAGTATAAATAATCCACTTGGTGGATACTATTCAAGCTGAAGAATGAACATGAAAAACTTTTCATTATGACCCAAGTATATTCAGGACCATCACGTGAAGACAGAAAAATCAGTAAATACATAAACACTTCTAGCTCTGCTAAGCACCAGGGGTACTGAGATGAACAAGTTAATGTTGGGTATTTTAAAGATTCTATAGTGCAAATCAGCCAGCCTATCACACTAGTAAATCACCATGAAAGTCAATAATTACTTTTGATTTGTGGAGGATAATTAGAAATAGAAAAAAAAAAAAGAAAGAAAGAAAATCCAGTACTACCAAGATTCTAAAGTGAGCAAGCAAAACCGTGTTCTTTGCCATCTGCGATATAGGCATTCCTATAGGTTTTAAACATACTTACTTGAACAATGGAGTTCCACAAACAACACATTTATATATTCCAGGATCTTTGTGATGTGTGTATTCTCCTTCAAAGGCACTGATAAACAATAAACAGATCATTTTAAAAATTAAACGAGGTTAGCATTCTTTCTTACAGAACATATTTGTTTAAACTATATTTCTCTAATAAATCTTTCAAAGGCTTTTTGTCCTACAATGAGAACAGACCAAACGTGGAAATTTGAACATTACTAATATATTTCAAATCTATATAATAAAATGTACATATAACTACTTCAAACTAGTGCAGGTTAAATAAAAACACCAAGCCATCTAGTTATGTAATGCTCACAGTAAAGATTTTCCTATTTCAAAAAAAAAAAAAAGCCTGTAGTTTTAGATTCATAGAAAAACCATTATTACATAAGATTTTTGCTACTCTACAGTGTCCAAGAGTGTATACCAAAAATGATCCAAGACTTCAAGTAGAAAGAGTCTTATTTTTTGGCTTAAAAGGAATATTGGAGCTTTAAGGGAATATTTTTCTAAGTTAACAATCTTAAAGGCTAGGAGGTCATTCAGCTAATACAAATCAGCTGTGCTAGCCCAACAAAAAGTCTATGTGCTCTGCAGCTTGTTTTTATTATCCTTTCACCCTCTTTATGAGGTCCAATTTTTTTTTATAAACAGAATTTTTAAGAATGACCTAATCTCTGGTTGTTTGTGTGCATTAAATCATTTTGCTAGTCGTGTACACAACAGGACGGTCGAAGTCCTCCTGAGCTGAGACTCAAGCCCACAGCTAGTTCGCTCTGTGGGGAGGGTGGACCTGGTCAGAGAGTCAGCCTTTGGTAAATCAGTAAACAGTAGATACTGTGACAGCAAGAGTGCTGCCTATTAACAAGGATCCCGTGTGTGGTAAGGAGCGCTTTCAGTTCATGAATGAAAACAAGAAGTTACATCATTAATAAATTCGGATCAGAGGTAAGTTACGGCCTTATGCCAAGCTCCATGGTAAAAATTAGACAACAAAATCGGTGGACCTTGGCAAGTTACCTTTGAGCTGGAATCAGCTGAGAGAGACTTTATTCACTAAAAACTGTCTTGGAAGTGAACTAACTCTTTTTTCAAGACTTAGGGCGAACTTCCAAGGACCAAAGCCATGTGAGGGCAGTTATTGAAAATTTTTGACATTCCAACCACAAATGAGCCAATAAATACTTTCTCCACATGTGCTTCAAAAAGAAATTGGAGTGGGGTAGAAAGGAACTAAATTATGCTACCTTCTTTTTGCAGCCAAAACATCTATACTTACAATGGCCACCTTCAAAATTTCAGCATCCTGGCATAGCGCCACATCCCTCATGGTTTTGCTTACTGTGATGTCGTCCCAAAAAATGTACCTAAATCGCTATTACTTCCACACATTTGTAGTAAACTAAAAACAGGCCCTTAACAAAAGCCTCGTGACTCGACATGAGATAGGCTGTTCATTAAATGGAAGAAAGAACAAATAAAACTTCTAAACGTAAACAATAACGTTTTCAACCTTTTCAAGGATACTAATTTGTAGACCTCGGCGAATTAGTGTAGAATGCTTTAATTGGCAAGGAAGAAGATTCGAGGGTAGGGGTGAAGAACGCAAGCTCTTGCTCAACGACTGTTCCTTACAGCTCACCTTACCTTTCCGTTCCTTTCTCCTGAGTGACATGGTACTGCAGGGGTGTGAGCCGCTTCCTCAGCTCCTGCTGGGAAAAGACCACCTTACAGTTCTTTTTATCCCTACATGACCCTGAAAGAGAAAGGATATGAGAGAAAGAGGCTTTTTAGTTTGAATCCTAAATAATTGCTTTGGCTGGCCGCCACAGCACAGCTTCTGCAGTCACTTGCCAATGACCAGACCAGTCCCTAATGCACTAGAAAAGCTCACCTGAGCTGCAGCTGATTATGTCTCTAAGTTTAAAAACAATGTTTCTTTAGATCCATGGGATTCCATTGGAGCAGAGACAATGTGTTATAGCCAAAGCTTCTACCATGTGATACTAAAAACTCTGAATATTCACAAGATCGAGATACATCCTGTGTGCCTCCCAATAACCTGAAGCTCCATTTTTTTGTGGTTCAAATGTATTTGAAAGTATATTTGCAAGCATTGACATTGTATACATAAGATGATGGGCATATTAAATTGAACCGTAACTCCCCATTCACTAATTTTGCAACTTGGTGGAGTGGTTTGAAATCATCATTCAATTTCCATTGTGAATTATTTAACTACCAGTCTATTTATTTTTCTTTGAGACCTGAAGATATACTTTTCTTCTATAACTAGGAATTGCTGTCCTCTGCAATCCCACCAGACCCCACACTAAGTTCTCCAGTGTCCTTAAAAATAAATGTCTCTTTACAGAGTATGGAAGCATGTTAAACAGGCAGCAAGAAACTTTCAGATTACAAGAAAAGTATTTTTACTATTGTAGATTAAGGCGGTGCAAAGAAAAGGTGAGAAAAGCAGGGATGGAGAAAGAGGGGGGAAAAAGGAAATTCAATGTGACTGTGACTGTACTTAGAAGCCTATTTTTCCTTTTTTACAAAGTATATCTAGGAAGACCACTGATTAAGTGTACTTGAATGGTAAAATAATTTTAATGTGATTCTATTGTAATAACAATGGCAGCTTTTATTTCAACCTATACAGACTGCAGTAAAATGTTCATACAACACCTGTTTATATAGAGTATTTTATTTTACCTGCACAAATGATTGAAAAGAAATGTAACTCCGGGACAGGGCAGCCATTACTCACTGCAGTAAAATTGCTTTTCTTTGCCATCCATCACAGTAGGAAAGAAGCTTACAGATGGTCCTAAACGTAAAGATTTCTTACCATGTTTTGAAGTTACTAAGAGAAAGCTGGCTTGGTTTCCTGAATATTAAATTCAACTTCTTTTAAAATATAAAGAAATAAGATTTAGGAGTGGAGTTACTTTTTACTTTTACATTTAAGGTCCCTAATGTCTTAGTATCACTATGTCATAGTGAGATCACTAACATTAAACTAGAAAAAAATTAACCCGTGTCCCTGATATGGGAATTGAAGAAGAATATCAGCTTCCAGAGTTAGGGCCACCAAGACAGAGTGGTTGATTCTCTGTAAGAGAGTTTAGAGACGGGAGAGTAATCCAGAGCCCACACAGAAAGGCACACCCTGGAGAAGGACTGCAGGTCATCAAGCAGCACCTCTGCTGGCTTTCCATGACCCTGGCCATTCTCTGATCCACAACAGCTGACATAGCACTACTAGCATGTTCGTTTCCCATCTCACTGGACCCTACAGTGCACTTGGTTTTATCCAAATATTCACTACTTGTATTTTCACTATTGTCTAAGGGATAAAGAAGAATGTTTTCCTGAGAAAAGTTTGTTCTGTCAGAATAAGCTTCTCGGAACGAGCAGTTAGCGTAATGGCTATGTTGCTGGACTCCCATATCACCAACCATGGTTTGAGTCCCAGACCCAGTGGCTTGAACTCACGCCAGGCACATGTGTGTGCGTGCCCAAGATTCCAAGAGGAGAATGGAGGAGAAGGGATTGCGGCGTGGCCATCCCCCCTGGGGGACAATTTCTCGCTTTCTCTCTCTCTATGTCTCTCTGTCTTTCTGGTCAGCACACGTGCCCTATAGCAAAAACCTCTCCAAAAAAAAGAAAAAAGAAAGAAAGAAAGAATAAGCTTCTCAAAAACTTGAATACAGAACAGCTCTTTCTTAAATAATCAGTTGACTGTGATAGGTGAGTTTCTGCTTAATTCAATACAGACTTCTTAGAAGTTATTTTGTGTTGGAAGGGTTGTATCTGTTAATTCTGTCAAAAAATTATTAGTTATGAGCTTAACATGACAAAATGTCTTGATTAAAATGATTCCCCTCAATGGCATAGGTAATTAAAATCTGTTCAATTAGAATGAAACAATTCTGTCCCAAATATTTGTGTTAATATATGTTCATTCATACAAAAAGAACGATTGTGTTCCTAGAGTTGAGAGAAATAAGCTACCCATCTGTATGTCATTTAGTACAAGAGAAGCGACTGCAGGTTTAAATTACATGGTATTGGATTGCAATTTCCTAACACTGGTTGCTTTTCTGCTTTTTTACCTTGAGTCATTTACTAAGGAGTGTTCATAAAAAGTAGCTTAAAGCACAGATGCTTGCAAGTCGTTTAGGCAAAGATGTTTCTCTCTTTTTCATTCTCCCTCTCTCAAAAATCTCTCTTTTCTGAAGAAAAAGAATAAAATTGTTGGTCAGTATTGATGAACCATGTCAAGTATTTGTACAAGGAAAAAAGGTAAAATTGAAAACATCTGATTGAAGTAAATAATACAAACATAAAAGCTTTACTGGTGAATGAAGGGTATTGAAGAGACTTTATTTCATAGATTAGAAATTACTTTTGATCTAAACATTCTTAAAAACAGATTGTTTTCCACTATGAGCCATCTCATTAACTGTGCTACAGAGACCCTGTTTTAATGGCAGGCTTTGAAAGAGTGCTGCTGTACTCCTTTGTTAGTCTCCCTCTTATTTGGGAGGGGAATAAAGATTTCATTCCAGCTTTCTTTGTTTGTCTTTCAAGAACCACTAAAGCAGTATTCACACAAATTTTGTAGGAATGTGCCCTATGTCATAGCCTACAAATTATTTGGTTTTGGTGCACTTAAAGGTCATCTTCCAAATTAGCAAAATTTTCCTACATCCTGGCTTTTCAACCTTAAATATAAATATTGTTTCCTAACTGTAAGTGAAGTTTGTTCTTTAAGAAATTCTAGTGATTATTTAAAGTTGTCAAACTTTGTACATTTTATTCTTTGGTCATACTATGGACTCAAAATAATTAGGCTTTTAGCGTATACCTAACAAGTACATGGAAGCTAGAAACTACTATTGTGATTTTATATCAAACAACTCAATGAGAAGTTAGTTCGATTTTAATAAATATCTTGCCACATAATTTAATAATAATATACTTCTAGAAAATGGAAAGCTACACAATTACATTAATTCTTCTAGCATCATAACCAAAACCTGGCATATATAAACACAGAAATCTTCACTTTTGTCTCTGATTTCCCTCCTCCCTGTTGGACTCACTTTTCTAAAGTCACATGGTGCCACTGTTAATTTTGAAGAAATCATTTCATTTTGAAATTCTAGAGTAATTCATTGGATAGTTTTCCTTTCCTATCTTCACTTAGGTACTGTAATTTTCTTATTATAGAGGGCAATTTAACATTAGTATTATATGACATCTGTTCTATGACCCCTAAATTGGCTTAGAAGTATGTTATGGAAAGATTCTTCTCTTTATTTAAATGTCTAATAGTGTACTTTGAAGGCACAAGTACATATGTATGTATGTATGTATGTATGTATGTATGTATACTTGCAACTCAAGTACATGTGACAGGGTAATATTGCCACTTGGTTTATAATAATAATACATTCCCTACATGGTAACTTTAGTATAGATCAGATCATTCTATTATCAAGCCCAAAGGTTATTTATTTACTAAAATATGCCAAACATCTCATTTCATATTGGCGTTTATTCCATGTTGTTGCCTCAAGGCCAAAATTATTTTGAAGCTCCTTTGTTAAGTTCTTGCTATAAGTAGACCTACATTTACAGGAAGAGTTCCTTTTTTAACTCTGTCTGCTTCTCAGTCATGTGACCTTAGGTATGTCAACTTCTCTGACCAGCAGCCCTCTCAGGTCTGCTGTAAGAACACAGCAATTAGAACTTATCAAACACCACTTAATGGGTGTAATATTATGTTGGGACATTGGAAAAGTCATGACATATTTTTCTATGCAAAAGAAACGACGATCCAGTATTATTATTAGTCTTATTACAGGTAATTGGGAAGTTAAAACAATTTATTTTATGCCACAGGGTATGTCCAAGAAAAAAACTGAAAGATAACAGCCCCAAGAAGGACCTGGTCATGCCATAATCCTATTCCTCCAATTCTCCTTCCTGTCAAAATACTGACTACTCAACAGAGCTGGGACTTTAACCCTGGTCAGCCATATGGAATCCAGTTCCTTTGTGTGGCGCTTATATGCTGTGCTTCAGGTCCAGCCCAAAACTGTATTTTAAAAGATAGTCAGGTATGTCAATGTACTGCAGTATTTTATTGGTGATTATTCTTCTGTAACAGTTCTCTCAGAAAGCATTTTCTACAAAAATTACTCTCAAAAAATTTATTAAAATAGGAACTGGAGGGACCAGCAGTTAGCGTAATGGCTATGTTGCTGGACTCCCATGTGGTCAACCGCGGTTCGAGTCCCGGACCCGGTGGCTTAAATTCACGCCGGGCGCGTGTGTGTGCATGCCCAAGATCCTGAGAGGAGAAGGGAGGAGAAGGGATTGCGGAGTGGCCATCCCCCCGGGGGGTGATTTCTTGCTTTCTGTCTCTCTGTCTGTCTGGTGAGCCCACACGCCCTATAGCAAAAATCTCTCCAAAAAAAAAAAGGAACTGGAGGAAGAAAAACAAGACTAAATTTTTTTTCTTTTCTTTTTTTGGAAAGGTTTTTGCTATATAGGGCACGTGCGCTCGCCACACAGACAGAGAGAGCCATAGAGACAGAAAGCAAGAAATCACCCCCCGGGGGGATGGCCACTCCGCAATCCCTTCTCCTCCATTCTCCTCTCAGGATCTTGGGCATGCACACACACGCGCCCGGCGTGAATTTAAGCCACCGGGTCCGGGACTCGAACCACGGTCGACTACAT